TAGTAGGTGACATAGCAGTGATTCAAACAAAAGATCAAAGCATTCTTACTCTAATGATCAAAGATGCCTACAAAAACAAAGAAAGCTCTTTTGAAGCTCTGAGCCCATTGTTAAGCAAAAGGTGTAGTCTACGTATAGCGAACGCTTCTTTAAACAATAGGATAGACCAGTTTCGGGAGCTGTCAATAATGTTAGTACTAGAAAATATTAAACCTAACTTATTACTTACATCACAGACGACATTATCATTTTCAAGTATACCCTGTAATGCCTCACAGTTTTTAACATGATCAAATATAACACTATCAGATTGTGAAGAATGTTCTTCAAGTCTAGTTATTAAGCACCTATCTGTCTTACCAATATAATCACTATTGCAACCTGGACATTTAAAATGATAGACAACAGAACTTCTGTATTCCTTAGGGGTTTGATCCTTAGTAGTAGATATAAAATGAGAAACATTTTTATACTGCCATAAAGTTATGAATTTTTACCTCTTTAATTAAGTGTTTCTTTACCTTATTTAAACATCTGCGTAAAATTAACTCACCTGGTTTTCCTAGATAAGGCAATCTAACCCAAATCTTAATCAAGCTATCATCAGTAGGCCTATGTATACATTTAGGTTCATTTAATTTCTTAAGTACATTATTAACAACTTTTAAAGGGTACCCATTCCAAGACATAAACTTCCTGATGTTATTAAAGTTTTGTTTGAAGTTTATTAGGAGTACACAATCTGTGGGCTCTAGAAACTAAACCACGAATCCAGGAGATCTTATGGTTCCATGGAGCAAAGCTATCATAATGGACATATTGATCTTTATGTGTATTTTTACGATATACACTCATGCTTCCTACACTGTTGTTAAATTGTAAATCCAGAAAGTGTACTGTGTCACTGTTTTCAAATGATTCAAAAGTAAAATTTATCTGTCTATGAAAAGCATTGAAGTAGCTTAGAATTTGCGGGAAATCATTGGGCTTAGCTAATACTAGCGTGTCGTCAACAAAACGAGTATAAAACTTAATAGTACCTGATTCAATAAGTTTAGGAACTATAGACTCTTCTAGTCATTAAAATATTAGCTAAAACTGGGCCAAGAGGCGAACCCATTGAGACACCATCAGTTTGTTTATAAAATTAATTATTACATCAGGAATTCCTGATGATGACACAGGGCTTGCCCTAACTTTTTTTGGCCCACTGGGCAAGTTTACTAGAGATTTTACTAGCCCACAGAATATTTTGCTAGCCCACAGACAGGAAAAAATTTTGTTTCAAAATATTTATTAGCGACAATTAAATTTGAAGGTTGATTTGCAATTTCATAATTTCTGTAGCATTGCTGTTTGAGCTACCCTCTCAAATCATTGTTGAATATTAAAATAAAAAAAATCACCCATGCTGCAAAATCGACATAACACTAACAGGGACAGATGAACATGTTTTACATCTCCCTGGTTATAACGTCGGCATTCTAATATTTAACAAAGGGCCCAGAAATCAATCAAACCAATGCATCATCTTTAGGTCTCAAGTTACTCACCCCCAAATGGCAATAAATCTTGCTTAGGCTAGGCTACCTAGTTGGCCTAGACAAGGCATAGGGCCTAGGCTAGCCTACCTTCCTATAGCATTGAAGTACTTAATTATTAAAAGTTGAACATTTTATAAATATCATAAGAAAATAATATTATGATAAGGTAGTACATTAAATTAAATGACTACCTAAATTAACCAAATTGAACGATCAAACAATCTTTTGTTGAGAGATACATGCCATCCTGTAGTGGTTGGTGAATGACTTGGGGATCATCTTAATAATTCAACACTCACGCATGTGAAGAGCTGAAAGCTACCTACAGTGTACTCTCTGGGCTGCGGTACCTCTTATGCAGGGATTGTCTCAAACGTTCCGTTTTTTTTTTTTAAGAAAATGTTTTTTTCCCTGATGACATAATTAATGTCGTAATTATTACATGTAAATACAGTTTTAGTACAGCAATCTCTAAGTAGTTTCCTTAGCGAATTTTTCTTAAGGTTAGTACATATCAGTTTCTTATTGTAAACCCTATCAAGAATTATATTAATTACCTTAGTAAGGGGAACATTTGTAAACAGAGATTCAACATCAAAAGATACAAATCGGTAACCTAAATTATATAAATTGTTTGGTATAACTCTAATGAGGTCAGCAGCATCAAAAGAATCTTTAAGGACAAAATCATTAACCGTTAGAGGGCCTAATAAGCTTGATAAGATCTTAGCTACTGAATAATAACAAGTACCGGTCGTGTCAATAATAGGTCTTAGGGGTGGAATATTATCAAAATCTTTATGTAATTTAGGTAGTCCATGGGCTCTAGCAGGCATGGTTGATACTGGACGAATTTCTTTGTATTCAGTTTCAGTTCATTTCTATTACATAGTGTCCGGAGGTATGCTTGTAAGGAGTTAAGCTGCGTGGTTAATGAACAGTTAGATAGTTTCTTAAACTTAGTTGAATCAGAGAATAAGTTCGTCATAGATGTGATATAATCAGTTTTCTTCATTATCGCAACACCATTTCCTTTATCAGGTTTAAGAATTACTGTACATACTTATTACGTAAGATTTTTAAAGTATTAATACGTTTGGCATCACAATTTAAATTTCGGTTAACAAAGTCAAGAAAGTTACATGTCATTGCACGAATTGAGTTCTTAATTTTCTCACGCTTAATGAATGATTTAGGTAGAGCATCAGCATTATTAAGTTGTTCCCAAATTGATTCAGCAAAAACAAACATATCAGAGTCCTTAGGTCGTGTAGCTAATCCATTACGGATACCAAATGTTAAGACAGATTCTTCTTCCTTAGATAATGTTTCGCCAGTTAAGATAGTAATATATGGTTAGGGTTCTTACACGTTCCATTGATTATTGCATGTTCACGTAGAAGGTTGTTAAATTTACGTCCATGGCGGTAAGATACCTTACACATTTCCTTATCTACAGTAGTCCTAACATGATGCTTAATTACTAAGTCAGCTTGATAAACATGAAGCTTGTATAAGTCAGTTTGTGATGTTTATCAACATGCACAGCAAAATAATGTTAGATGTATTAAGAAAGCTCATTTAACCAGGTCTTCTGGAAATGGCTTCTTCAAACCCTGCTGTGGTCAACGAAAATATAAGGAATTTTGAATACTTACAAACACTAAACAATGTGGTTGCCTGGCAAACAGAATCCTTTGGACAATCTAAAGAATAGAAAAATGATTTAATATTTTAACAAAGGATATAAATTGCACCACTGCCAGTAAAAATACTCATTTTATATTATATAGTAAAAACATATCTGCATGCATTATTAACTTTGTAAATAATATTTTTCTATCTCGTGCATGGAATCTAACAATATTAATTTCTAATATAAATATATAAAGTAAGCTAACACTACAGTCTGTACATGTTCCGTTCTGTTCCTTGGCACGTACTGGCCAAGGACATTTATTTCATCTTTTATATAAGGCCACTTTATGTTTATGAAGTGGAATGTGCCACTTTTTAGAGGCTTTATAAACAAGTTCTCGTAAACTTGAAAGCTCCGATGAGGGCAGTATAATAGAGGTAGTAAGAGTATATTGGCCTTAACAGCCGCCCATACAAAAAAGATCTCTTAATCAATCAGCCGAGTGTTTCTAGAGCTCCTCATCGGAGCTAAAAATTTAATCTACTTACTCAATTTTATGTAGCAGATTTCCAGCAACAAGTTTTGCAATTTTGTCAACTGAGGCCTCATACCTAATAAAAAAAAAAAAAAAAATATTCATACAATATTCTTATTCTTATTCCTTATTCTTTATTAATCTTCTAATCGCAGCCAAAAGGCTGAATTAAATGAAATTTACAAGTTACATTTACGTTAAAAGATTAAAAATTACAGTGCCATTAGAAAACATTAAAACAGGAAAACATAAAAATTTGTAGGTAAAAAATACATATATTATATAGAATTAAATAGTTATAAATACAATAATGATAGTCAATATAAGTAATAAATACATTATAATCCAGGATCAAGAGTCAAATATAAAAATACAACATTCAAAAAGGAGAAACCGTCTGCGGTTCAGGGGGAAGAACAATTGTTAACAAAATTTGCCAAAAGAAGAAAAAAATTTATAAGGTAATACCATAAGTGCACGTATCAACTAAGGGATAGTGCTATTTTTGTATGATATTAGAATACATGTATACAAATACATGGAAAAACAGTGGTCATGCCCCTGGATTATAGTAATGTTATCATTTAAGCTTTGTCCACACATTTCATGTGACATATAAACGTGATGAGTCCATATTTGGGTGTAATATGATACCATCGTGGTTCCAAATAGCTGTCTATAGCATTGAATCGCCAAAACTAATGCGGCCGCAGAGTTCATCTTACCAAGCTTGCCCTTCTAAAGAAAGACACAAAACTTAAAAGGGACGAACTAAAGAATACCATGCTTGGCAGAGATGCATGGCGACAAATTATCATGGCACCCACAAACACGGAGTAACGTCGTGTGATGACATTCAGTAAGTAAGTATGACACCATCATGCCCATATATGGACACATCACACAAATTGGTCACATACAATTTTATAGTATGGACTGAGGATTAGAGCCCAACAGCCAATATATATTCTTGCATGTCTAGTAGCTTTATTTTAAAAGCAACTCTTAATAATCATGTGTTGTAATGATTGTTGTGATTTCATTATTCACAATACTCTAGATATTATTTTTTAATATTAATTTATCCTTATTATTACCATTTGATTCCAGATATGACACCAGTTCCGATGTGGACATTTTTTCAAGACTGGATATATCTTCCTCCTCGTCTGTATCCTCCCAATCTCCAATAATTAAGCCTCCAATATCTCTGCCATCACGCACCTCTTTAACAATCTATGAAAAAAGTGATATTAAACCTTACATTATAACAATTACAACTACAGCAGTCACTCTGTAGAGTAGATACCTCCACCCTGTGCCTGATAACAATACGCAGGCTATGTATGATGGACAATTCCATTATTTTCCATCATGTGCATGAACACCGAACAATACGGAGGCTATGTATGATGGACGATTCCATTATTTTCCGCTATGTGCCTGAATACTGAGCAATACGCAGGCTATGTTTGATGGACAATTCCATTATTTTCCACCATGTGCCTGAATACTGAACAATACGCAGGCCATGTATGATGGATGATTCCATTATTTTCTTTTATGCTTGAGGGTAATAAAATTGAACTTACTGTGAATGATACTGACCTTGCCCTTTGACCTTTTCTTCCCAAATTTAATCATCTCTTTCTTAGATTATTTACGTACTATTCCACTAGACAAACAACATGGATAACAGCATGGAAGTGCTACCCATGGGGAACTAGTCAACTTTCCCCTTGCAATCTTGTCCCCTTAAAAAACTCAACCCTCAACATACCTGCCCCCTGACTATACACAGTCACCCCTTACAAACTTGCCCCACCACCAACTTACCCCCTAATAAAATGACTTACGGTATTGCAGTAGTTCTACAGAACTAAGTCAGTGCCATGTGGAAACACTGATGTTTTTATATTTTTCTACATATTTTTATAGTCCTTAAATTACCATATATTATTATTATTACTAACATAAAAATGAACAAAATGTCATGAAAATTTTTTCCAGTTTATATCATAGGAATAAATTTATATTCATTGTTACATAATTTAACGACAGAAAAAAATATAGAAAACGACCAACACAAATACAACTACATACAAATTACTCTAGTTCTGTAGAAGTGCGATGTCGAAACAGATTTTTTATATTGTTTCTGTCGGTAAATTATATAACAACAACATAAATTTATTACCATGATATAAGATGGAATAAACTTTTATGACGTTTAGTTTGTTTTCATGCTTACATAATTTAACAACAGAAACAATATAAAAAACGACAAACACAAATACAAATACGGTACTAACAAATTACTCTAGTTCTGTAGAACTAAGTTTCGACGTGGATAGAGATTTTTTATATTGTTTCAGTCAGCACATTATATAATAATGAATATAAATTGAGATACAGTGTTATCAGTTACAGCATACCTCTCTTTGTAGACCACCTTTAGTTTCTCTTGATATCACCCTGAAAGCAAAAACAAATTTTAATTGAAGTGTTAACAAAAATCCACTCTCCAGATAGGACTTTAAATTAAAGTTAAAATCTTTATGCTTATGGAAGAAAATTAATTTGATCTGAAATTTTTTCTATTATTTATTCAAAAAATAATTTATCAAATAACAACTTTAACAATAAAAATAACATAAGATAATTTATACCTTATTGAAATAAATTACAGGCAAACTGTGTTTCAAAATAGTAAATAAAATAATTTTAATAAGAAAGTTCTCAGTATGTTGTTTTAAGTATGGAAAACATGCAAATAATCTAAACATCTCAACAATGATATGTATAAACATTATTAAATATAACAGAGTTTGAATGATTTTATTGTTGACAACATTAATATTCTGTGTATATAATCTTTGAAGTGAGTGAATATAATTTACATCTTTGTTTTCTTGGTCTCGGGGTACAGAAAGACATCGGGATTCTCCTGACATGATAATCCAAAGAGGCCAACTAGGTAATCAATTAGATCAGAAGATTCCTTGAAAATAAGACAGTTAAAAAAATCATTAATATAAGTTAATTTATGTTTGGTGCTATTGGTAATAGAAAATTAAAATATGTAAAATACGCCGATACTAATTTTTAAAGTAATTAATATAATTCATATTTTACTGTGATAATTTGAGGCTTGCCATCCCAAAACCAGAGTACTGTCGCTAAATATTAAACAGAGCAATTAGCATTAGAATGTGGCAGTATTGTAGACTTCAGTACAGAGAACTCATAACTATGGTAACCAAGTCGATTCCACTAATGTCCTATCATTTTAAAGCTTCTAATGTGGAGAATATGAATATATTAAAAAGTAGATTTTCTTGTTTTGGTCACTGATGCTGATTTTGGCATGGCAATCCCCATTTGAGATTTTTTTTTATCCCAACATGGCATATTGAAATATACAGTAAATTATACAACATATAGATATATATATAGTTTTAAGTGGATATATGTGCTAAGAAAAATAAAACTGACCACTGGAGCACTCCAAAGAAAAGGTTTTATTTGATAAATTTAAATGATTCATTACTTACTGAAGATATGGCAACATTTTCCTCTCCATATATTTCAGAAAATGTTGACAAGATCGGAATTTGTAGAAGCAGATGTGGCTTTGTTATATCTGCTGTTATATGGTAGAACATGTTGAAAACTGACTCATTCTCTATCAGTGTATGTGTTTTGAAATCATTCAACATGAAGTTGTAAATTATCATCATTTCTTTTGTAGCAAACCTGTAAGAAATCATAGTTATAAAGTGAACTGTACTATTTAATTTCATATTACTCCATTTTTTTCATCATACAGAAACAAATGGAAAAATATAAATAATATTAGCAAACAAATTTACAAATAATAATTACATTACACCTGACAGCATCACCTATCTTATCACTGTTTACGATTTACTTTTCGTTACTTTTGAATAACATGATTGTAAACACTTTTTATTACATTTACTGTGTGTAGCAGGGCTTTCTTGGAAAGCAGTGCTAGTCACTGAATGGATACCTCCTGGTTAAAGAAAGCTTAAATATTATAAATAAATAAATCACCAAAGGTAAACTAGGGTATACCATGGTAAGGGAAGAGAAGGAGCCTAATCATGTAGTTAAGTCTGTCTCCTGCACAATTACCTTTAGATAATAGTTAAAGGCAATGTTAATTGCAGGGGACAAAAATCACTTGCTGCCAACAGTTTTTCTAGTGCCTCTCAAAAGAACAATAGACACAAACAGTGGAAAAATAAAAAGCTATTCTAATAATGATGTTGAGTTGTGGTTACAACTTAATTCATTCCACATTTTAGCATCTCTGTAAAGATGGTATAAGATGGCAATCAATTAACAAAATATTTGATATAGTATACAAAAACTATCCACCAGTAATTAGTTAAAGGCACACTGACACAATAGTGTCATCGTCTCTGGTAATTCTAAATTAAATTAATTGTTGTTTGCTTTGTCTTATTGGAGTGTCATGATATGAGGTGTTTTTAAGCTCCTACCTGTGCAAATGTTCTAAAATCCTTGTATTTGGGTTGCTTTCATCAAGTGAGAAGAGCGTCAAAAGCTGGTTATTCCCAACAATCAGTTCCTTCAAGTAACTCTTTGAATCAACATTGATATCAAATTTTCTAATCATCAGCAGATACATGTCAACGACCTCTGTCATTGAAGCGAGGGAATCTGTACAAAGTTTAAAATTCAACAATCACAATAACAGTAACAATAAATTGTTCATTAGGATTTAATAAAACAAACATTTAATAATGTAAAGCAATATTATTATTATTCTCCAGGTCTGTTATCATTTATTATCTGTTATCATTATTACAAATTTCAATGTGTATATGGTATCTTAAAATATAGCATGGCTATGCTACTCAAAACAACTAAATATCGTTCGTTCGATGCAAGGAGATTACCCCTGCCTTTATTAATTCATTAGGCCTTTGGCCCATTGAAAACCAATACAGTTATAGAACATTTGCATTTATGATAGAGCATGGATAATAATAATAATAGTAATAATGGTAATGATAATAGTAGTAATAATAAAATAATAATAGTAATAATACTATTAACAGTAATGTTTTAAAAGATTGATTGATTACTAAAACATCAAAAGGAAATATTCTAAAACATATTTTGTATTTTTCTCTTTTTCTTTTCCTTTTTTTTTTCTTATCAATCAGTTTACAGATAGTAATAGTAATAGCAATAATAATAACAATAATAATAATAATAATAATAATAATAATAATAATAGTAATAATAGCTATTTCTTTAAAAGAATGGAGCAAAATATATGACATTCTTCATTAAAGTATTGACACTATTTTTGATCGTGTCTTAAAGAATAAATATAGCATAAATGAGAGTCTTTTCTGAAGATAAAAACAATTAAATAAATTAACTAATTTGGGAGAAGTCGGATTTTAGATATAATATTTAGGTAAGAATTGTGATCTAATTGAATTGTGATCTAATTGAATTAGAATTGTGATCAAAACAACTAAATAACCAAGTAATGAATGCACCATAAAAATTAATTGAATGATATAACTACCGACTGTCTGTTCCAAGCCTCCATCAATTTCATCTGGGCATTTCTTCATGAAATATAACAAGTTTGTGAACATCTTGTTCAAAACAGCTGCTAACAGATACAAACTGAAAAAATACATTACTATTTATTAGTAAAATATATTGGAAAAGAGGATGTAGTTCTAATAGGCCAAAACATGTTGTTGTTGAGTGCAGGTAATTAAAATTGAAAATTAGTGAATAACTTCATTCTGATGGTTTCTATGTAATGGGAGGAAGTGAGTTGGTTTATTAGTAAAGGTTCGCACCAAACGAAACCACTGGAACACAGGCCTGTTTTCTGTCAAGTAATGACATAATTTACTAAAAAAAACAAAAACAGTCTGATATTTAAATAATAGGCTTCTGATAGTAGCATGAGTATACTGCAGAAACTAGGTCAAATATTGATGATTTCAAATAAAAATAAAACTCTATTTTTGGCCAATTAGCGCACCCGCCGCCATGAAAAGGTGGAAATTTCTGAAGAAAATAAAAGTTTTTCTATATTTTTAATACACTCTCCACTGTCTTGAAATCTCCAAAGATAAGATATGTATATTTCCATCATATTTTACATTCACAAATGAAATTTTATTTCTATTTTCTCCTCCGTCTGGATGATTTTGGCAAAACTATTTGCTAAATAAGAAAACAAAATTTTATTTTTATTTTTATTCCGCCCTCCACCAAAAACCTTTAAAAAAATAAGTACGCGAAAAAAAGGAATGAAAAAAGTTTCGCCTTATCGGACAAGGTGCTATCAGTCACTGTCATCTCACAACTAATTACCAACTCACTTATAAAACTACATTCACATTGTACTTTTACGTGCCTGTTAAATGAAATGAATCTAACACATTCCATTTTACAGAAAAATTACACTACCACATCATAGAGCATATCTGCGCAAGTGCAGTATACTAAAAAGTGAACTGACTTACATCTTTGAATTGATATTGGATGTGCTTGTGTCTTTCTTCTCCTTAGCAAGCTGATAACATTCCCATGAATACATCATCTCCATCACACAACATCCAACTAGGGTACTTGACAACATATGTCTGTGGTAAATTCAGAAAAGACTAGATCATCATGTACCTGGATAAATTATAAAATCACTTGGTAGTAACTTTGGTACGGAAATACTCCTCCACTGGGATAAATAATTATGACAATACATTTTTGAGAAAAACATTTAGTCCCAATCGGGATTTGAACCCCAGACCTTCTGATTACCGTTCGAATACTCTACCATTGGAGCAATGAGACCAAGTGGTATACATCATTCTTGCATTGTCCCATTAGGGCACATTTTCTCAAGGTATTGCATAATATGCAATGAATATTACAAAAAGTACATAGTAATAACTTTGAGAGATACACTTCCACTGGTGATAAATAATGATCATACATTTTTTTAGAATAAATATATTATCATTTATTTCAAGTATATAGTACAAGTAATGATAATTTGTTTTCAAGTTAGGTATTTTAAAGCAAGTACAAAATTAATTTTGTCAGCTAACAACATCAGGCTATACACTGCATAACATCATAAAATTACGCTTTCTCTAATTTTCTTGAAGGTGAATAGAGCAATGTATTTGAAAAGTTAAGATATTGTCAAAACATCAGTTTTTCTATGAAATATTTACATGGTATACCACAAATGTATAGTGTTAAAAATAATTTTAGATTCATTTCTTCAACCGAAGGTAAGATAAGATAAGATAATATTTGTTGGTCCAAACGTATAAATACAGGTTACTTTCTATTGGTATGTACATGTAAATAAAAATTCATACAAAACAAACTCAATATTATGTACGAGTTCTATGATGACTTCAAATTCACCATTACACCAGTAAAAAGTTAAAATTCATGTGATAAAACTTTTCTAGTAGAATATTATGAGATTCACTTATTCAATCACACTCTTCTGCAAACACAGTTATTTTGGCTAAATTTTACTATGTGAAGGTTTATATTACAAATATTTTTTGATGAGGAAATAAAAAATTATCTGTTGCATGAAACATATATACTAATTAATTGTCATGTATTTACCTGATGTCTGCATATGCAACCGATGATTGCTCTGTAAACGACAGAATGAATCCAAAATTCCACAAGAAACATATGTTTTTCATATTTGTTCGTATTGACTCCTGAAAACAAAGAAATTCAACAATCAACAAATTGCTTATTCCAGAATGACACTGACAACTTTAAGCAACTTGTGTCAACACAGCTTAAGCCTTGTCCAAACTATGACATTTTATTTGACAAAAATAGCCTTAATATGGTCACGACATCATAACCATATATAGACACACCATGTGGGCATACAGTGAAATTTTGATTTAACATTGAGGGCTGCACACAAACATTAATGTTTCCATTGTGCTGCCAAAAACCATCATACACTGCTTCTATTCCGCTTTATGTTCAGTCTTAATATTACTTTTTACAGGCAATCAGTGTCAGGCAGTTAAAAAACATGAATTTTTCAGCCAAAGATGGTTGGCGAGACGCACACATAAGGTTTTCAATTTATTTTCGTGGGTTGCAACAAAATCACAGTTGAACCACCTATGGCCATGGGTCATTCTTTGCCCACCTTTGATTTAGAGCATCGTTCAAATGGACTTTTGATTTCAATTTAAAAAAAAACAAATCATGATCATAATCGTTCAATGAACAAATTAATTAATGTAGCTATTCCACACAACAAACTGATAAAATTGCAACCACAGCTGTCATATGGCCATGATATACTGTAGTTTATTGAAAGACAATAAAAGAATATGTACTACTTACATAATCATTTAATACAACAGCCAACTTTGGCAATGCTACCCTGTTTAAGTCAACAGCATATTTAGCTAACAGTTTTCTGAAGAGTAAAACAATGAGTAATGGCAAATATTACTATTAATAAGAACATAGTTTAATCATCTTATTCTTTTGACACTCAACTACAAACATCAGGACACCACTGCTATTGGGTTAAGCGTGTTTTAATCTATTAAATCACTATAGTGTTTTCCCTGCAATCGTTACACAAACGCGCTCCCACTGGGAGCCTATTTTTTACTATTGTTATCACAGTCCAAACAATCAGTATAGGAAAACCTAGCAGAAGAATCTAACAGCAACAATTTGGAAACTCTGGAACACGTAAAACTTACCGTAGCTCCTGCTTTTCTGAGGAAACTGATTGGCACTCCTACAAAAATACATAAACAGACCAAAATTAATTTACAAAACCAGCATCGGAATTATATAATAATTTAATATATATAATAATAATATGTAATATATTTATCTTAATTTTATTTTATTTATACTGTATATATATATATTTATTATGTTCCTTTTATTATTTGCTTTGTTAATTGTTTTATTGTGACTTATATGTATTATTTTATTTTTTATTTACTTTTATTATAATGTTTATTGTTATTATGTTCATGTAGTTGAATTGGTATAGGTGTATTTCACCAGATTTCTTCCACCTTGCTTACTATTGTCCATTGTATGTTGTGAGCTGAATTTGAATAAAATAAATAAATAAATATAAACATCACTAAACAGATTCAAACAATCAATCAATCTGATCAATCAATCATTTTATAGTAATTATAAAATGTAATAATATTTCTACTGTCCCTAAAACAGCAATTAATTTATTCTGTAAAATTGATCCAAACCTACCCCCTTATGGTTTCTCTTGCGATCATTGGCAGTATTCGGTTGCTGGCAACAGGTAAAGTGGTCGGCTTTCTCCTCCACTTTGCCTTCTAGGACTGAGGGTATAACTTCAGCTAGGTTTGGAGCAGTGAACCCAGTAAATAGCAGGCAGTTCAATTGCAAAATGGATTTTAACAGATCATTCTGGAATTTAGAAATGCAGTGAGCCATCATTATATTAACTATTTTTGTAAATGCCCTTCCATTATTTTTTAATATACAGTTAAACTTGCCAAGTCGACTTTGCCTAACTCGAATAATTTCTAAGTCGAACTTATTTTACATGCCAAATTGTGTTTTCCATTAATTACCAATCTGTAAGTCAAATTTTATCTAGGTCAAAGTTTATCTAAGTCAATGGATTCGACTTAGGCAAATTCAACTGTAATATATAATTATTTCTCTTACTACAATGGTTTGCAACCATATATAGCAAAGTGGATTAATCATTAATTATTTTTATTCAAGGTTTCAATTTTTAATTTATATATTTGCAGCTGGCACCCACACATTTTGCAAAAGGCCACACTCTGCCCACCTGTGCTTTAAAGTATGCCTGCATTGAAGAATAACAAATCAGGACGCTTTTCACAATATAGAAATTGTATCAAAAAGACTACACATGTTTGTATCAGAAACATGCACTGTCTTATTTCCTAGCATCATTTGTGATACATAAAGTTTATTACACACACACAAACGTTAACTTACCCAACTTGGCTTGGTGTTCTTAAGGAGCTCAATCAACACCTCGTCCAAATGGTGCTTCAGAAGTTGCCTATATAAAAACAAGTAGTAGAATTATACACGCAATATCCTTCAAAAAGTTCAGTTCACATGATTTGATTTCATTTCACTATGATAACTCATGTGATAGTCCTACATGTTAATATAAAGTTCTGAGGATTAGGGCAACTTGCTTTTGACTTAATTTATAGTGACTTACACATGAAGGTAATAGTCCTTTGAGGAGGGGTTGATTTGAATTGAAAACAAGTTAAGTAGAAACCTAATGCAGTTATGCAGTGTGGTTTGATGCTCAGGTGTAAGTAGTACCTCATCAGTTGATGATTTGCAATGCTGTAGAGAAAGAATAACAGTCAGTACTTCAAACAAAAATCTTAAAATCATCAGTGATGCTGATTGGCCGGTTGAATTGGGAAGCCTTCCTGATTGCTACGTAGTACTATTGCACTGAAAACCCTGTAGCGACAGTGTAGCAATTTTAAGGAAACCAGGCTTCAGTAATCAAATGAATTAATTAAAAGAATTAAATGCTTGAAAATAAACTGTGTTCACATTTGATAAATTTTGACCATGATGAATTAACTTCACCTTAACCAAATCAAATTCATGTTTACACTTGGATTTAATAAATTATTGAGACCATGACTAATCAAGTCACCACATTCAAATGCGCTACATTAAAGCACATTAGAAGAACGAGTCCAAGTTTTAACTTTTAAATGCACAAAATACATTTTTTTTCTTCTATAGAATTGCAAAAGGTCCGACAGTCTTGAATTTACATGCACACAATGAAAGAAAAAAAAAAAAGTAACTACCACAAGATAGAATTCCAAACTCCGACATGCATTCTATTGACAAAGAACACGTTCAATTAGAATGCCCTTTACATTCTTTTTGCCCTCTAGCTTGTAGTAATACTTTCCAAGATTGGATTGCGTTTCAACGTAACCACGAGAGTCACACCTCTTACAGTCCTATACTCTTTGATTTTACCAAGTAATATATCATACATGCTGTTTGCACTGGATTTTTCAGTTACACTGTTAGTTTGATGACCAAAAAAGTCTCATTTGAACAGAGCTGTCAACAGACTTACCTCAATAATCATTGACATGTTGTCGACTAAAGCCTTTATAGACGCCACCTTGAAACGTGCTTTAATTTCATGGTGCATCCGGGCAAGAACGCTGGTTATCACCTGCTTTTCAGCGGATTGGCACGATGCCAAAATTAAATTATTTGGGAAAGTCAACGACATCATAATCCTATAAAACACATCAATTACATAATATTAGTAACAATAAATTTGATTTTCTTATAAAATAATGAGCATGCTAAATTCACGAGATATATGTGGTTGCTTAAACCCTCCCTACTATAATGACAACATTAATGCGACACATATAGTACATATTACAATAAACTGTACTTTATACAATATTATCCCCGGTCACTGGGCCAAGCACCTATGGAGCACATCCTCCATTTAAAGCAATTCCATAAGCAGCTAGAAACGGCGCTTGTTATTGATCGTACCAGGTACCCACTTATATTCTTAGATGGAGAGAAACCAACGTAGATAAAGTGCCTTGTCCAAGGACAAAAGAGACTTGCACAGCGAGGGTTAGTCTCCCCCCAAATCTCAAGTTTTGCCACAAGCAACCACCTAATAACCATGCTGAGGATTATTACCAACAGTACAGGGTTCATCATTTCTTCCTTGGTGATGTTTATACTAGTCTTTGTTAATTTCAGCTTTATTATTAAGTATTCACTTTCATATTTCTGATTGAAAAAAAACAGTAATTACCTTTGCTACAGCATACAAAGAAATGTTCATATATAACTAAAAACGTAGAGATATTTTTACAAATCTACTGTATATTGATGAATATACATACTTTATATTTACAGCAAACGTCTCCATATATTCTTCATCATCACAACTTTCAAGGATTGGAATTAGGTCCTAAAAGAAGCCATACATAATATATTCATATTAAATCAGTATACTGAAGAGTGAAATTAGCAAGCAATGTATTCTTAGAACATGAATTGAAAGGCAATATGATGATGTTTTGGTTTAAAATCCAATAACAATGTAAGTGGATGTAGGCAAGACTTTGCAGATCATAATAATAGTTTTTATTAAAAACATACTTATTTCATAATCCTGATGAATATTTTCAAGGATAAATCCAAATCTATGTAGTAAATGCTCCCACCATCTTACAGCTGTATTCGATACCTGTTTGAGATCATATAAGCTTACGTCGGCTTGCAACTCCACTTAACTCAAAGCAACTGACATGAGCGCTACCAGCAATTAGTCAAGGTCAGTTGCAAGGGCAACACAAGCTCTAACAGCTTTATGGTTTGCACTGTACATTTAATACAAAACAATTCACATTCTTAAATCAGGTACTGGAAGTCCAAGTTGTAGTCAAACATAATAAAGTTATAGGGAAATAAAGTTTAAAACCCTTTACCGTTGTTGCTACTTTCTTGAGTGCCAATTGCCTTCGTACGAATCTCACAGAATTCTCCTGTAGGAGACAGTCATAGATTTCTTCCAAACATTCTGAAAAAGAAAACATCAGGAATTATGAACAACTTCAACAAATTTCTAAACCATATACTTTGGTCACAATGATGGTGTCAAACATTTTTTACTATAAATTTAATACCTTATAAGGTTAATACCATACCTTCTCTTAGGGAAGAAAACATTAGTGTCTACTGATTTTATGGTAATGTCTTTATATAAATTACAATGGCATTATACAAGTTTATAGCCCCCAAAATATGTATGTGTATACACCTAGAAAAAAATTGTCCTCCTCCACGAAGTTCCCACCCAACTAAAAACTACTTTAGAGGCAAAAATGCCCTGTGATATGTCACTGGTCAAATCACTATCTGTAACCCTACATTGACAATATTTGGAAAACAATGATGCAGTAGTGTATACTGTAGTTTTGGTCTTACCAGTACAATCTTCTGATATGACATACTTTCCAGAATCATCAACATATCCAAGGTTTGAGGTTGCGCTGTTAATACCCCCTCCAAACATAACATAGTGCTCCATCTGAGGGGAAAAAATGAATATTGCATTTATGGAAGTCAGATTTTAGTAATTATACAATAAACATTTTTCATTTTCATTTCTCTTTTTTCCCCCTCCACTTTATTAAAATCATATTAAAAATAACAACTATAGGCAGGGGCAAAGGCACGATTAACATTGTGGTTTAGAAAATGAATGAAAACTGAATACTTAGAAATAAATTCATTCATTAAAATTTTATTTACCTATGCAGGAACCCTTGGTGGGATATCATGAGTTGGTGTACAAAAATTTCCTTTATTTTTTTATATTTATTTATTTATTCAGGTATAAACATATAAAAAACAATTACAAAACGGCAGCTGAAGCTGAAATGGTTTGCATCACAAAACCTATTCACAAACACCAAAGAAGTATTTGGACATCAAGTCTTACGAAGCTCGTTTTGCAAACTCTTCAAAATTTTTGTCTAGCCCTACAATTTCCTAATCTTGTTACCTATAGTGGCAGATTCTGTAAATGGCAAAAGAGGCTCTTGGCCCCCGGCCCAGCACCAGCCAAGAATTCACTAACCAATTGTGAAGTCGTATAGATAAGAGATTAAAATGGCTAAAACAGCAAAGCTTCTAGATGGAGTATCATCTCAGGACCAGCGATGGCTCCAGAAATTTTCCGAAAAGGTGTCCGGCATGTCCAACTGGGGGTCCGAGGTCTCCGAACCAAGGGGCCGACTAGAGACCACAATATTATTAGGGATTGGCAATCAAAATAACGTTATTTGGATAGGTAAAATAATTTTTTTAAATTTTTGATCCTACGACCTCGTCGTGGCGTTGAATGTCGGCAGGGGGATTAAGACCACCACTATGTAAAGGAGAACACCTGCCTTCTTATTCAGAATAAAATCATTAAGCTTTTATCATCACTCAAAATGGAGAAAAACCAACAAATCTACTGATTATGTTTAAATAACATAGAGCAAACGTTACTCTGAATAAAGATAGGGAGGGTTTGATTCAACGTTTTGACCTTAGAGGTACTGTACATTATCTCCACTAAAAGATTATGTATTAGAAAATCGAATCAAATCTGATGATGACATAATTAATGTGGAAATATTGAATCCCAACACGATGGCGTGTATTTCAATACTTGGAGTATGTATTATACTTTCTTATCTGAGATTAATCAGTGGACCTTTCGGTAATAATTATGTGATTATACATTTTTAAGAAGAGAAGCTGATGACATTACTATTTAGACATTGATTTTTCTGTGCAAATAAGATACTGTAGGAATCCATTGTATACAACAACTAACTAATGTAACTAGTGGTATACAGTACTACAGTATAAACAGATTTAACTCTAAAAATAGTACGGTATTTAAATATTAGAATTTTAATGCATTTCTTGTATTATTTGCAGTGTAGTGTAATGTGACCTTATTGTATTTGAATACATTGTATAGTATTTGAATTGAAGAACTTGTAATGCTATTTTGGTAAGCATAATTCAAAGAAATAAACATTGCTTTTTGAATACTAATGTATTACATTATATTAACATATTTTATTGTAAAATTGCCATTCTAAATCAACAAGGTTTTTTGGGGTTGGGTGTGAGAATTCGGGTTGGATTCTTATTTCTTATTAGATTGTTTAATTAATTATTTTGAGTGTTTGTATGTGAGTGGGTGTGTGTTGGTGTGTGTGTGTGTGCGTGTGTGTGTGTGGTGTTCGGTTTAAGCTTTTAATGCTGTGTTGGGGAGCTAAAGATACGCCTTTCGGTGATAGTAGTTTTACCGCATTTACCTCTCCACACTGTCCTCTTTAATTTTGTTTAATGTTTGTACAGCTGGAAGGAATAAAATAAAAATCAAATCAAAATAAACAAAAGAAAATAATAGTCGAAGATGATGACAACAATGTGGGTGGTTAAAAATGATGGTTTTATTCCTATGTAAAACTAGAGATTATCTACTGTTTGTTTGTATACTATAAATAAAATAAAAAATGTTCTTGTACACCTCTACGTGGCACTAAACACAACAATCATGGTTGGGTTATTATTTCCATATTAATAATAACCATGTACTTGATGATAGTGACCAAGTACTCTAATAATAACCAGTATTCTAATTATAACACACCCTAAAAACCAAACAAAAGAATAATGACCTGGGTTTCTGTAGAGATTTTACAGCTCGACCACATTCATTAAAAAGTGAAGGATGTTGATAGCATTAATCACAATGAGAGACTGAAATAAGCAGCAGGTCCCTACTCCTATACTTGTCAAAACGCCTACAGCTCTGTCATGATTATCAAATTTTCTTTTACAAAAAAATGGTTGTATTCCCATAGTCATGATGTGCCTATATGGTCATGATATGATGTCATCATGACCATATTTAAGCATGTCACATGTTTTGACAGTCTGTAACAAAAAAAAAGGATGCAAAAGGATCTGCTTGTTCATAGATGATTGAAATTGTAATCCGCCTACCATAACCAACACCTACCTGGTGTAAAGGTAGAATCACACCGAATCCGAATTCGGTTCGTAGAACGTTTTTTGATGCACGTCTTAGTAAGCGCCTCTATTCTTTACCACTGATTCGATATTCTTTTTTTGTTTCGTTGCCATATGAACCAAATTTGGCTTCGGTGTGAATGCAGCTTTAGACTGTCTTACTATTGCCTACATACCATAATTGTACCACACTGAGATAATTTCACTATTATGTTTTTGAAATCTCAATTTTGGCACCAAAATCATGATTCGCCGGTTCGTGGGAGCAGCAAGAACATGCTGAAGCCTACCCACGACGGCTCTGTTCACACTTAGTAAAGGCCTGTTTACATTTAGAAAATAAAAGTACACTAACACGATTCGATAACAATTTATCATGTACACGATAAAAATATAATTTCACCAATCAAATCAAATAACGTCATAATCATGGGAAAATGATAAAATTGTCTTTACTACGATTTTCAAATTTGGGCTTCTATTCAATGTTTTACAGTATTAGGGCCAGTTTACACTATGACGATAACGATCAACAATAAAAAGCTACAAAAGCAATTGTTCATAGAAAAGAAATAAGAGAAGTTTTCACACTAGCACGATTCGATAATGATTTATCTTGTATACGATAAAAATTATTTTCATGAATCAAATCAAATGATGTCATAATCATGGGAAAACGATAAAATCGTAGAAGTAAAAAGAAATATTTTGAAAAACAGAGAATGAGTGTACTTTTTTTTCATTTTTTTTTACTCCGAGATGGCAAATCAAAGATGGTCAATGTGAAACAGCTACTACTTTCTCACTTTTTCCAAGAAGACACATTGAAAGAAAATAAAAAACACTAGACATGATTCATATGTAAGGTATCCATAACCATGAACGATCGAGAGAGGAATTTTACTGATGTGAGTTTGCCAGATTTTTTTTATATTTCATAACAAAAAGGAAATAAAAAAAAAAAATGGTGAGGCAGAGAAAATAGATGCATGAGGAGATGAGAAACTAGTAATTTTTTTTAAATATTTGGCCTTATTTCTTATATTTTCTATATCGCTCGGAGGGCCAAAGGTGAATTTTTTATTTAACACCAAGGGCCGCACGCAAACATTGGTGTTTCCAGTGTGCTTCCAAAAACTGCATTTTAAACCAATTTATTCTCAGTTTTAATTTTACTTTTTACGTATGATATGTGTTGGGCCATAAAAACAAGGTGTTTTCTAGCCAATGGTTGCTTGGCGGACCGCACACAAATAGGTTTTTTAATTCATTTTCGAGGGCCGCAAAAAAATCACTTTGCCCACCTGTGCTCTAGGCCTGTATGAATAATTGTTTTTTAGTTTTATATTGTTGGTTCTTATCATCATCTTATCGTTATGATTGTGATATTGATTTTAATAATCATTCATAATAACTGTATTTTAGGGTTGGGTTTTATGGTTTGTACACGAATAAAATATGAACAAATAGATAGGTAAATAGATGAAGAGCTATGCTCGAAAAACATATTATTTCAAATAATGAAAATATTGGCAATATCGTACTTTAGCTTTAGTGTTATTATGTATTTGTTTACAGACGTTGCCTTTGCAGCCATTCTCTTTTTATAGGTAGATAGAATGTATTAAAACAAATTTTATATCCATACTGTGTCGAAAAATAAGTTTATTAAAATGTTTAACAAAGACAATTAGGCTGCTATTTAGTTGATCGTGGGAATCCACTACAATCCAGATGACACGGAACAAGGGGTGTTGCGTTATGGAGAGAATGTGTGACTGGAAATGGTCTGCCAGTTGGTTGTTACCATGCGCCAGTGATGTTGGAGTACAGCAAGATGAAACTATTTATGTAATGCATGAATTAAGTTGTCGGGTAGAGAAATGATTATCGTACATTTGAAGTGCTCCCTCCATGAATGTAAGCTAAACTACGGTGATTAATGAGCGAAGATATGGTGACAACTATTACGAAGTTCCCTCTTTTCAAGAGGGGATGCAAATGCTTTGTGAAAATGAGCATGCGGCAGTCCGCGGTACTCATTTTCACAAAGGAATACACTCAGCTGGTTAGCTGCCTATGCAAATTTACATGAACACCTGGTAAGAAAGGTTCAATCACGTTCTGTTGCCTAGCAAACGTCTGTACTGTAGCGTGGTGGGGGGTGGAGGCTAGCCTACTGATGTACTGTATATAGCAGGGGACGATGAAGCTGCGCATAATATGACTATCTAGGCCTAGGCCTAAGTAGACAGTGAAATTTTATGTGATAGAAAGTACACTTTCGAAAGAAATAAATTAAAATAAGAAAAAAAAATTAACTAGGGCCTAAGAATAATTCAGTTGCAGACGTACCTTGTTTAAGTATTATATGCTAATATGCGGCTCTTGTAGCCCTAGCCAGACAAGGCACTCATGTGCAAAGAAGTGGTGTTTGTTTATCCATGAATAAAGCATGCCGGGAAAGTTTGCTTTACCAGGAAAAGGTGATGTAATCTAGCTTATGACATATGCATGCTAATAATATAATATGTAATATGGGTACTACAGTACTTTCGGACGATCTACTTGTGTTGGTCCACGGGTATAAGGTATTATGCCACCCCTCCACATAAAACTTAATCTGTATTGAAAAAAAAAATTGTATACTAATGCAAAACATTTAGAAATTATTATAATTACGGTATTCACTGAAATTACACCTTCGATTAGCTTACAGATACCACTTCTGGGCCAGCTATGGGTGAATAATAAATAACATTCTGTCCTGAAAATAAATAATACTGTACATAAAAGCAATTGTGCACCAGGCAATTATCACTTTGAATAATAGGAAGTTTAACAAAGGCTTAAAATAGGCTACACCACGGAATAGAATGACCCCAATAGCTGGTGAGGGATACAAAGTCCGCACGGCCCAACATACAAATTCCGAACAGCCGAAATTGTCTATGGCCGAAGTAGTCATCCCGGTCCAGGCTAGCCTACCTAGGCTAGCCTGGGCAAAAAAAAAGAGGGCAAAAAACTGCCTTCTTACTATGAGGTGCAAAGTGCAAATTTATTATTTAACACAATTATTTATATATAATTCATTATTTAACATATAATTGAATAGATCACCCATATACAGTATAATGCATTTACATCTAAAAGATTATTTGTAAATAATTGCGTTAACGTTTTCATTATTTATATATAATTAGTTTACTGATTTCATTATATAAATAAATAATAAAAGGGTAACCAATCAATTAAGAGAACTCCAACGTGAATATAAATAATTGTAATTTACTTTTTATTATTTATATATAATGATTTGTTACCTTTTCATTATTTATATATAATGGACTCAGTGAACTTATTATATATGAATAATTGTAAGTTACTTTTCATTATATATATAATGATGTGCTACCCTTTCTTTATTTATATAATGAAACCAGTAACCTTATATAAATAATTTTGATTACCCTTTCATTTTATATATATATAATGAAATCGATCAGTACACTAATTATATATAAACAATTAAAACGTTAACGCAATTATTTACATATAATCTAAGATTATATTATATTATATAATCTAAGATTAAATCTTTTAGACGTAATGCATTAGGCCTATATATAAATAATGGGTGATCTATTCAATTAATAATTATATGTTAAATAACGAATTATATAATTGTGTTAAATTAAATAATAAATTTACACTTGGCGCCTCATATCTTATTCTTACTTATTGCCTACAATAATACCATGAAAGAGAATTAAGAGATTCAAAAACAAAATTTAGCCTTTTGAAGTAAAACTTATTATGTACTGTTGCGTTTATGGACGGAACTAGGCTAGGCCTAGGCCTAGCCATGCCATCTATTTAGCCAAGCGTCCTCTCCACACGTACTGTACAGCGTAATTATACAAATCTAAGCTTATTTTCTGAGATTGTAACAAACCTTAGAGTAAAACCTGCACTTCAAAGACACAATTCACAGTAGCAGCTACACGCTGTAGGCTAGGCCAAGATAGAAGATGAAGAAATCACTACACTTGTCACTGCAACGAATAACTAAAAGCCATACAAAATATAGATGATTACTTTAAATACAAAATGAATCCGATTGGAATGTTTGATCGATATAAAATCCAAAATTTGCCTAGGCCTGCCTAGCCTACATTCCCTTTCACTTTTTGCTCGCTCTCCTCAGCTCGAATTATATCGCCTAGTCTCCTCCTATTGGTTCTCCGAAGGCTACTTAATCATAACATAAAAGCTGCTTTCTTATTGGCTTTTGTTACAGACACCATACACATGTTTTCCAATCACGTGTATTTTACATTTTGTACATACGCGTGTCAGTTATTCTAGTGAAAGTAGTAAGAGCGGACCAGTCGAGCGAATTATTCCAAACAATCTGAACGGCCTCCCACCAGTTACGGGGATGTAACTACTTTTATTCGGACCGGAGGGTAGAATTAGTCCTACGTAATATAGGGTTAAAAGAGGGCAAGGCCAAGTTCACGGAAATTCAATTTTTTAACCTCGAGCATAAAAGAAAATAATGGAATCGCCTCTCGCGTACTCATAGCAGCACTCAAGTATTATTTTCTTGAAGGTATGCTGCAGCACTCAAGAAAATATTGTGCATGAATACGATGGGCGATTTCATTATTTCCTTTATGGAACGCCGTTTACGCAACAATGCGATGACATAATTTTTGCTTCGATAAGAATTTTATTTCGATACGAATTTTGCTTCAATACGGTACAAATTTTGTTTTGATAAGAATTTTGCTTCGACACAAATTTTGTTTCGATACGAATTTTGTTTTGATACGAATTTTGCTTCGATACGAATTTACCTTCGCTAATTATGCTTCGATACAAACTTTGTTTCGATACAAATTTTGCTTCGATACGAATTTTGTTTGATACGAATTTTGCTTCAATACGAATTGTGTTTCGATACGAATTTTGCTTCGATATGAATTTTGCTTCGATATGATTTTGCTTCGATGAATATTGCCATTGCTAAAAAGTGCAAAAGCTAGTCGCTATTACCAGAAATACATTCTTTTCCCAAGAGAGTATCTTTGTGTATACAGTTTGCCCTCCAATTCGAGACCACCTTTTTGTGACCTGAAAATTGGGGAGGGGGGGGGTCTCGGCCGGTTGGTCTCCAATTAGAGGTCTAGCTTTGTGTTATGAAGATTGTTATTTGGGTCTTTTGAAAAGTGGTCTCGAATTAGAGGGTCTCGGAATTATAGAGGGGTCTCGAATTGGAGGGTGCTCTTATTAATTGGCGATATATTTGCAAGAATATCATCAAAGCATTATTATTTATCCATCCTAAGAAAATGATTGTCTTCTACTTCCAGTTCTTTAAATAGAGCAGGGTATGCTGCATTTCTCTTCGCTTGATCCAGTGTTTAATCCATAACTTTTTATCTTATTTCACTGACCGCAAAATATATTATTTGTAACAGTAGCTTTAATTAACAGATCTAAATCAACCATGGTTGAGTGAAAACAGCAAATACTGAAAACTGAAATGGTTTTAGGGGTTTCAGGTCTGGAGATAGTCTCTGAATTGCATTCAGTTTGACAGGTTATTCATCAAAATCAAAATAGGCCCTGTTGGTCGAGTTGTGTTTATGGAATGCATTTCCGCCAGGAGAAACATTTCTTCATGGGAAACTTGTCAAACCCAAAGTTTGATGGCAAAACCAAACCGTGTGAGGTGAGCCCCGTAGCTCCTGGGGGTTCGTCCGAACCCCTTTTTTCAGCGAACCCCCCACCCTACCAATAACGAACCCCTGCTACAGTATTTTTATGCATCCTTCGTTTTTTTGCAACGGTAGATAACTCAGAATCTAATCAAAAATCACCAGCAGAGATCGTGTTTCTGAAGCATGCAGTGAGTGTGTGATCATCAGAGAGTGCGAAGCGTGAATATTTATGAGAATTGTTGTCAAGCTTCTGTTAACCAATCACGAGGCATTATATTGTTTCGGGAATAAAGTTCTCCGATCGCAACGAGATGGGAGTTTTCGCGTTTGTTGGAATTTCCAGACACACGCGGACGTTAGCAGAAATAAAAATTCTTTTTGTTGTTATAATAAATATTAATGTTCAAATTTACTTAATTACATTGTATGTTTTTTACTGCGTGTTGTTGACAACTGTCTTGAAATCCTGTGTTGAAAAAGAAGTTAATGTATCATTTATTTAGAGGAAGACCCTGTAAGTATTTAAATAAATATGCCATATACATGCTTTTAAAGTACAAAAAGGCTCCGTCTTCCGGGGGCCCACAAGGGCTTTCCCCCTTGACCCCATCTCTTATACACATCTAGATGTGTATAAGAGCCAGATTTCCTTTATGGAACCCCCCCCCCCCCTTGGCTGAAACTGCCTGGCCTGGAGATTAATAGGTGACATTGTGCGTACATAGATCTTTCTAGTTGCTCTCTTTAAAAAAATAGTTTTAAAAATCGAATTTTTAAAGTAATTTATTTGATTTGCTACACAATGAAGTAGATGAGGAAGAGCTCATTTTTTATACACTACTGTTAGACTAACACGTAAAAAACTGGCCGAAATAACTATTAGCAATTGCTTGTTACGGTGTGGGAGTAGAAGGAAAGATGAATTTAGACGTAGTACAGGTAACACTGTTTCGTCATCTATGCATTAATTGTCACTACATACCACTTTGCTATTTGTTACAGTTTATTCTCACTAATAGTGTGATGTCGTTGAATAAGAGTCTAGAGCGGATGACAAGTATTTATGAGGCCCCATGTGTTCACTTATTATTTAGCAAAAATTGACGTGGTTTTTTACGTTATATATTTATATAATATTTTATATAATATATAATATTTTATATAATATATAATTTTTTATATAATATAATATATATATATATATATATATATATATATATATTAATATAATATATATATATATATATATATATATATATATATTTGTCATGGCAACTTAATTTACGTGTGCAAATTCTGTAATAAGGCATGAATGGCGCCCTCTTGCTAAATTGGAAACTTTTGACCCTTGACCGCTCGACTTTACCATTAGGGTATCAATCCTGTGAACAGCAGAACAGGAATCATCTCAGATCCATGGCAACAGCTTCCAAAGCTGATTACTTTTTCTTGTTGGTATAATAGCGCATGAATGGCGCCCTCTTGCTAAATTGGAAACTTTTGAACCTTGACCGACGCTTCTATTTGTTACGCGTAAATCGCGGAGAACGCTATCTTGTGTTTATAAGATCTTTGCTTTTTATTACCCAGTGCAGCACTGCCATAGAGGTATTATAATAAGAATACTAGAGCGCTAACCGCAATGTATTCGATGTTCGAAATACGCAGAACCATAGAGAAAATAAAATAGATGGCAGAACTGTGTGTGTGTACCATCCAAGATGGCTACCATAGATTTAGCCAATCAAATTTCGCTAAGCACCATCGTTTGCAATTGCGCCCTCAATTTACTCAGAAAGTTCAGTACAGCTAGTTACCCATGTGTTTGAAACTCGAGCGTTGCGGTGTTTGGGTGTAATGTACACGATTTTAATTTTCATTCCTTGGTACTTTATTTTTGAATAAGGTGCTCCACTTGGTCTCGTTTTGGCTACAATAGTTTAATCATTTGTTATTACCATTAATCATTATCATTAATGAAATAATAGTCAGTCAAAGGGCTTATTAATATGTAATAATATGTATACTAAGCCTGAAGGTGGCGCTTTACTACGACGGCCATCTTGGATGGTATGCATACATAACTCTGCATTGCTGCGCCATCTTGTCAGCACTCTAGTTGTTTAATAGCTCTATGAGCGCTGCGCAGCGCGGTAGAAGTACGCCCGCTATAAACTCAGTAAACAGAAAACAAAGATCTTATAAACACAAGATAGCGTTCTCCGCGATTTACGCGTAACAAATAGAAGCGTCGGTCAAGGTTCAAAAGTTTCCAATTTAGCAAGAGGGCGCCATTAGATGTGTATAAGAGACAGCCTTCTTGCTCTCGAAAAAGTAATCAGCTTTGGAAGAGGGCGTCCTATCTGTTGCCATGGATCTGAGATGGTTCCTGTTCTGCTGTTCACAGGATTGATACCCTAATGGTAAAGTCGAGCGGTCAGCGATTTTTTTTTCCGTACGAAACATATGCATGAAACTTCACTCGGGCCATCTCGGATTGACTCGACTAAGTTCGATACGAGGAACAAGAGCAGACACTTCGCAATGTCGTGACGCTCGAGTTTTACTATTATTGCTCTTTCTATGTTTACCTACGTTAGGCCTATGATATCTTACGGATTTATGGGATGTACGTGTGTAACTAACTGTGACCTTTTTGGATGTTATTAAATGTTAGTATAATATCTACAACAACAACAGCTAGTACCCCCTTTTATAAAGTGTTGATAGGTACAGTAATACCAGAGGCTAGAGAGAAAAGAGGATAACTACCGGTATGGGCCTAACTACAGGCTAAGTTAAGTCCTACCTAGTATAGGCCTAGGGTACTAGGCTGACACCAACAGTCACGCTTTACACAGACGTTGATTGAAATTTTGAAAAAAAAAATGGAAAAAAATTAAAGCATGAAATAAAAAATAGAGTGCATAAGAGAAATATTATTAAATAAATAAAATATACCATTCGGCGGCGTTATTGAACTTGACCAAACTATGATCCTTGTAATGTAATTCATGTTAAATAATAATAATAATAATAATAATAATAATACTGTAATAATAATAATTTTAGCGTTAATTACCTTGACCTAAGCCTTGTAATGAAGAACCATACTATTTACTAGGCCTATATATAATAACTAGCCCAGGGGGAATATCTTTTGTGTTATTTCCCTTAACGTCGATTTTTTAATTGTTCTCTAATTCCTCCATTGTCTAAGTTCCCCTTAAGGTAGGCCTACAGGTTGGTTTTTAGTAACATAATAATAATAATAATAATAATAATAATAATAATAATAATAATAATAACAATGATATAATAATAATAATAATAATAATAATAATAATAATAATAATAATAATAATAATAATAATAATAATAATAATAATAATAATAATTTCAGCATTAATTTCCTTGACCTAAGCCTTGAATAATATTTACTAGGCCTATAATTAATAACTAGCCCA